CGACCTGCATTCACTATAATCCGCTCTCCCCACTATATCTGATCTCCCTGGACCCTGCAGTCACTATATCCGCTCTCCCCCAGACCCGCATTCACTATATCTGCTCTCCCCGGACCCTGCATTCACTATATCTGGTCTCTCCGGACCCCGCATTCACTATATCCGGTCTCTCCGGACCCTGCATTCACTATATCCGCTCTCCCCGGACCCAGTATTCACTATATCCGCTCTCCCCGGACCCTGCATTCACTATATCCTCTCTCCCCGGACCCTGCATTTACTATATCGGGTCTCCCCAGACCCTGCATTCACTATATCCGCTCTCCCCAGGACCCTGCATTCACTATATCTGCTCTCCCTGACCCTGCATTCACTATATCTGCTCTCCCGGACCCCGCATTCACTATATCCGCTCTCCCCGGACCCTGCATTCACTATATCCGCTCTCCCAGGACCCCGCATTCACTATATCCGGTCTCCCCCTGACCCCACATTCACTATATCTGGTCTCTCCCTGACCCCGCATTCACTATATCTGGTCTCCCCAGACCCTGCATTCACTATATCCGCTCCCCCCTGGACCCTGCATTCACTATATCCACTCTCCCCGGACCCTGCATTCACTATATCCGCTCTCCCCAGACCCTGCATTCACTATATCCGCTCTCCCTGGACCCTGCATTTACTGTATTTTGGTCTCCCAGACCCCTGCATTCACTATATCCGCTCTCCCCGGATCCTGCATTCACTATATCCGCTCTCCCTGGACCCGCATTCACTATATCCGCTCTCCCTGGACCCCGCATTCACTATATCCGCTCTCCCCGGACCCTGCATTCACTATATCCGCTCTCCCTGGACCCTGCATTCACTATATCCGCTCTCCCCGGACCCCGCATTCACTATATCCGCTCTCCCCGGACCCTGCATTTACTATATCGGGTCTCCCCAGACCCTGCATTCACTATATCCGCTCTCCCCCGGACCCTGCATTCACTATATCCGCTCTCCCCGGACCCCGCATTCACTATATCCGCTCCCGGACCCCGCATTCACTATATCCGCTCTCCCCGGACCCCGCATTCACTATATCCGCTCTCCCCGGACCCTGCATTCACTTCACCCTGCATTCACTATATCCGGTCTCTCCGGACCCCGCATTCACTATATCCGCTCTCCCGGACCCCGCATTCACTATATCCGCTCTCCCGGACCCTGCATTCACTATATCCGCTCTCCCCGGACCCTGTATTCACTATATCCGCTCTCCCCGGACCCTGCATTCACTATAACTGGTCTCCCCGGACCCCGCATTCACTATATCCGCTCTCCTCGGACCCTGCATTCACTATATCTGATCTCCCCGGACCCCGCATTCACTATATCCGCTCTCCCCGGACCCCGCATTCACTATATCTGCTCTCCCCGGACCCTGCATTCACTATATTTGCTCTCCCACAGTACACACAGCATGAAAATGCAATTATTTTAGTAAATATAAACTGCGAAATACCTTTTCTCATCAGCAGTATATAGCAGTCTTGTGACTTCTATCAGTGTGCTACACAGCACTGGTTAAAGCTTGTAGGAGTTTTCTTCCTGCTCTAAAAAGATGCAGGACCCCTGACCTCTGTCTGACAGTATTGATTGGCCCTGTGCTGATCATATGCACTCTCCCAAGAAAAAAAAAAAGCCTCTCTAGCAATACACACTAAACTGTGCATGTACAGAGTGTCTTTACACCTTATGTCTTATCAGGAGATAAGAGGAAGACACTGGAAGAAGGGGAGGATCAGAGAAGACAGGCTCAAACAGCATTTTTAAACACTGCAGAGGATTAACCCCTTAGGTTCCAGGAGGGGCAGCTGTCCTGGGCAGTAAACCCATTCTATGGCATGCATTAATAGCGGAGGGGGGGGGGGGGGTGCAGTTCCACATCCTTGCCCTGGGTAATAGATGAACATGTCCCAGTACTGCTCACCACAGGATCATTTGTACACAACACTCCGCCTACAATAGAAGAGGCGATATACTTTTAGTTTTCATGGCTCATATTTTTAACTGCCACCAATTTGCTAATTCCAACTTCTGCAGCTATTGGACCCTCTGAATGTATTAAATTGAAAGCCTAAAAAAAAAAAAAATAATGCGGCCACCTCTATGGACTGGTAAGCTGTAATAAGTTACAATTTAGATTTTTGAATTCAGATTCTTTACCGTTCCTGTTGTTATGGTGGTTTTGTATATATTTGTGCTAGATATGACATTTGGACTTGTTCCGGATGTGTCTGATTAACCACCTAAGGACCGCCAACCAGCAATTTACTGCAGACAGGGGACCTGTACTGGCACATCGTTGTACCTGTACGTAGCTGACTTTTTCCGGGTACAGGGTGCGTCCAGCCGCTCTCCTGCCCGACGACTCCCATTGTGATTAGACACAACGGGATTTTGTCAGCAGGTCCCAGCCATTGATTCATGGCCAGAACCCGCTCATCATTATAGTACATCATGGGACACAAAGCCAACATATTAATCCTTACTCATAGGGATGTTCCAAAGCACTGTTCATGGGGGGAGGGAGACACAGCCATCACCGACAGGCCAAAAATGTACCTTCACAGCAGCCTATAACACACTGCGACCAAAGGCAGCCTCCTCAGTGGGCCTTACAACAATCTGATAAAATCTTGTAAAGGTGCGAATCAATGACCAGGTTATGGCCTGTTAGAAAAAGTACACAGGTGGTGCAAACTACCTAGCGCATTATCCAAGGTTTATTAAAAAGTATAACTCTTGGGTTACAGCTCTGAGGAAAGGGACACGTCCCCGAAATGTGTCAGCAGGCCGACCACACCACCATTCGGACACTCTGCCATCATTTCGGCCATCTCTGTGGTCTTACCGGCTTTATATGCGCTAAGTTTGTGAGTATGTTTTTGTCTTTTTATGCTTTTTAATAAACCATGAATAATATGCTAGGTGTTTACTTTTTTTTTTCAGTTCGTTGATCTCCCCATCTGGAGGGCTGCATCTCCCGGACTTTATCCATAGGTCATTCACACACCTAATTATTGGTATTGACCCTTCAAGGCAGAGGAGAGTTAGTACTTTGTCCTATACATTTGTGAGTATGTTTTTGTCTTTTTAAACTTTTTAATAAACTATGGATAATGCGATAGGTATTTGCTTGTTTCCAGTTCGTTGATCTCCCCAACTGAGGAGGGCTTCATCTCTGGGACTTTATCCATAGGTCATTCACGCACCTGATTCCATGGCCTCTCCCTGGTATTGACCCCTTTGAGGCGGTGGAGAGTTAATACTTTGTCCTATATGGCCTTTTAGACCTCAGCCATTGAAGCCTGATGTCAGACCACCCTGGAAGCATTACACTGCAGAAGCCCTAATTTTCAAGCCATATGTTTGAGGAAAAAAAAGCTGATGAATCCTACAGGATCAATGGTCAACTTGGTAGCCACCTGACCCCTCCTTGGTCCTTCTGGAAGGACAAAAAGTTAATCTGACTGTTGAAATGGCAGTCAGTTTCATGACATTTTTGATAACCTGCCCACATTTAACTTCTGGAGGTTCTTGTCTTCCACTGACTGAGGCCTGAAAAAAAAGTAGACTAAACAATGTCCTGGTTAAGAGGAAAAGATGAAACCACCCTCAGCAAAAACAACAGTTGAGGTGGAAAAAGCATCTTGTAGTGGTGGAGTGCCAGTAATAGCAATCAAGAGCACAACCTTCTGAGTCAAAAGAACTAACAAAAGGTCCAGCATCGGCTCAAATGGTGATCTCTGTAAAAACTGACAGCCAGAAACTGAGATCCCATGGGGACTGCATGGAGGAACCATATGTGTGACACACTGAACAAAAGCACACACTAAGGAATGAGAAGCAAGTGGCCTATATAAAGGGGCTGCCAAGGCCAAAATCTGCTCCTTGATTGTGCTCAAGGCCATTCTCAAATCAGCTCCAAACTGGAGGAAAGCCAAGATCTGACCTTCAAAATATTTGCAAGAATAAAAGTTCCTCACCTCAGACCAGTCTACATATGATTTCCAGGTTTTATGGTAAATCATCATAGAAGTAGCCACCCTGGTTACTTCTTAGGAGGTTGAAAATGACTGTATCAGACACCCCCCCCCCCCCCCCTCTATCCTTCAAAACTCCATTACAGCCAGCGGCTGTAAAAAAGGATGGAAGATAACACCTTGTGCCAGGAAGTCTGGCTGAGCCTGAAGATTCTAAGGATTGTCCACTGAGATGATCACAATGTCTGAATGCCATGTTCTCCTGGGCCAAGCAGGTGCAATCAGAATCACCAGTGTTCCCTCCATCTGAAATTTGTTGAGGTACTTGGAGGAACAGTATAGGCTGAACATCACTGTTTGGCTTTGGAAAGGTTAAATTCTTGAAACCTTTTGTTCTCCAGAATTGGCATGATCACTATCTGAGACAGAAGTTTACCGAGAGCCTGCAACCGCAATAATCTTTTTTGGGGATTAATAGAAACATATGAAAGCATAAAAAACAGAGGGGGAAATTCTTAGAATTCCAGCTTGTATTTGTAAATCATACAACAGACCCAATCTTCTCCCCCTGCCACACTTCCACAAATGTCCTCCCCCCCCAGCCAGTGGGGGTGCCCTTTTTATTGAGATGGAATCTTAGGGTCCACCTTGTCTGGCTTATAGGACCAATATTTGTATGAAACTGTCTGAAGTCTTCGTCCTGGAGATCGAAGCCTGCAAGTGACAAAAGGACTATTTCGTGGCTACAGGAGTAAAAATAGAAGGAACAGTTGCCCTTTAAGATGAACACTTATCCTCTTTCCAAAATGGTTAAAAAAAGTTTCCTTCTGAAAAACTTATGGATATACTTATCCAAATTTAGCTCAAATATATGTTCCACCTCAATGAGAAACCCCACCGACAGCTTTTTGAGGGGTAATTCTGCAGGCCGGCATTTTGGCAAAATAATCCTACATATGTGTATGGACAAAGTCCTAAGTGCAAAATAAATGGAATCCTTAAAAACTTCCCCAGCATAAAAAAAGAGCCCGGGGGGCCGGTGCCTACTCTACCTATTTGGTAATCTGACCTTGCCAGAATCTCCTCGTCAGGTATTACTGAGCAGGGTTTTGTGTATGCAGGGTCCAGTGCTGAGCAGCTGCATTACAGGCAATCTCATCATCCTCTTCAGGTTCCAGAGAATGAGAGCTTTACATTTGGATCTGGTGATATTGTGCAGAGAGCTGACCATCAGTGGCCATCACCTTCAGAAACTAGAAACTTGAGGTACATCCTGTATGGGAGGAATTATATAGAGGAGAACTTTTTTTTGCCAGTGTCCAATCACCTCTAGGTCAGCAGTAACCAACCAGTGGTCCATGGACCACTGATGGTCCACAAAAGAATTTTGGTGATCTCCAGGGGTTTCTGCTGCAAAATCAACATTGTGGTGGATGTGTACCACCCAATGTTGTTTCCAGTGTTGTTCTCAAAGCTCACTGACAGTGAATACTGAACTCAGAGGAAGGCCCTGGGAGTAGTGCAGAGAGCGGGAGGTGAAGAAGCGGCTTCCAATGCCAGCGCTGATCACAGGCTGTAGAAGGAGCACAGAGCTTGAGAAGATGGCTGGATAAGGAGGTAAGATCTAAGGATGAGTCTGTGTAGGGCAGGAGTGTGATGCAGAGTGAGGAAGGGAAGAGGGCAGAGGGGTGCAGAGAGCCGGAGCATTGTGTGTATAAGGCAGCAGTGTGATCCAATGGAGGGGGGTTAGAGAGCCGGAGCATTGTGTGTATAAAGCAGCAGTGTGATCCAGAGGGAGGGGGGTTAGAGAGCCGGAGCATTGTGTGTAGAGGGCAGCAGTGTGATCCAGAGGGGGGGGGTTAGAGAGCCGGAGCATTGTGTGTATAAAGCAGCAGTGTGATCCAGAGGGAGGGGGGTTAGAGAGCCGGAGCATTGTGTGTAGAGGGCAGCAGTGTGATCCAGAGGGAGGGGGGTTAGAGAGCCGGAGCATTGTGTGTAGAGGGCAGCAGTGTGATCCAGAGGGAGGGGGTTATAGAGAGCCGGAGCATTGTGTGTATAAAGCAGCAGTGTGATCCAGAGGGAGGGGGGTTAGAGAGCCGGAGCATTGTGTGTATGAGGCATGTAAAATCATGTTAGTGGTCCACAGGAGTCAAAATTGTGAGTTTAGCGATCCGTGAGGTCTGAAAGGTTGGTGACCACGGCTCTAGGTGGTGGATAACCCAATGAGTAAGGAACATTATGGAGGCTCTGTGTCCTACGATGCAATACAGGTGAGTTGAATGCAGCAGTTTATTGAGTAGTAAAAGTTAAAAGCTCTTACAAGATAG